CTCTCATTGTCATCTTTCCCTCGCATACATAAATAATAGCTCAGCACATGGCTAAGAATGGATGCCCCAAAATAAATGGGACTTCCTGATCAGGCTCGTAGTCCAAGATAATGAAATCGACTGGGAATGTGAAATAATTCATTTGAACTAACACATATTCTATCACTCGCAAGGGAGCAATCAGCCAACTGTAACATTACCATTGTTGGGCGTGGCTCACCCAACCCCAACTGTCTGAACACAGATAGTGGCATCAAATTGATGCTTACTCCAAGATCGCACAAAGCTCGCCTGATCGCATGCTTACCAATCTAGATTTTGATAGTGAAACTACCCGGATCCTTTAATTTCTGAGGTAACTTGCTATGCTAGAGCTACATTCCTCAGTGAGCACCACAGTCTCGAATTCGGTCAACCTCCTTTTATTTGCCACTATGTCCTTGATATATTTAGCATATTTGGGTACTTCTTGTAGGATGTCTACCAATGGAATATTTATTTGCACCTGCTTCAAAATATCAAGAAACTTTTTATATGTCGCATTATCCTTCACTTTCTGCAATCTTTTGAGTGAACTGAGGTGGTGGCCTCGCAACCAATGGCGGGGGTTGCTTAGCCACCGCCTCTTCAGCTAGTTTCTCTAACTCCTTTGATTTTTTTGATTCTGACAATATAGTGGTTGGCTGCTCATTAAAGGTCACTTGTTCCCTCTTTTTCGACTTCTTCTAATTGTGTCCCCTTCCTCAATGACACGGAATTAATAGATGCCTTAGGATTAGCCTCAATGTCGCTTGGAAGGGCTCCAACTGGTCGAGTATTTTGGACATTGGCAAGTTGTCCCATTTGTCGCTACAAATTTCTCATTGTTGCTACTTGGGCTTGCTGGTAAGCTATCAATTTCTTCATCATTTCCTCAAGGTGACTTCTTGGGTTTGCATGTTGTTCAGCTTGAGGTGGTCTGTATTGTTGTTAAGGTGCTTGTGGTCGGTATTAATTCTGTGCACCTTGGTTTCCACCCCAAGAGAAGTTTGGGTGGTTCCTCCAATTGAGATTGTAAGTGTTCCCATACTGGTTTGTCTGGCCCCTATTTGCATTACCCACAAAATAGATAGACTCTGGATTAACTGGGCATAAGTCGCTCGTATGACCCTCTCCACATACTTCACCAAACAATTGAACTCGTTGCACTAGCTGAGCTTGTTACTTGTTAATAACCAAGGTCATCTGATTGACTTGGTTGGTCAACATGGAAATCTGCACTGATAATGCCGAGACGACATCTAACTCGAGAACCCCTGCAGATTTTTGCAATGAGTGTCTGCCCATCTCTCATTGCCAATCAGGATTGCTTTTGGAGAATTTGTTCTATAACGCATATATCTCATCAAATCTTTTCTCCAACACTTGACCTCCAGATGCAGCATCTACCACAATCTTTGTCTCAGGATATAGACCTTCTATGAAAGTGTGAGCTAACACTTCGTTTGTCTGATTGTGATGAGGACAATCTCTGAGCAGCCCCTTGAACCTCTCCTAAGCTAAGTATGAAGACTCTTCGGCTTTCTGTTTGAAAACGACTATCTCACTTCTGATCTTTGCAGTTTTGCCTGAAGGGAAGAACCTTGCCAAAAATGTCCTTGCCAAATCATTCCATGATGAATAGAATTAGCTGGTTCAGTTTTCAGCCATCGCTTTGCTTCGCCTAGCAGAGAGAATGGGAAAAGTGTGAGCCTCACATAGTCTGGAGTGACTCCATTAGTGATGTAAGTATCAATAATCTCCAAGAAATTCAGGATATGTTGTTGTGGATCCTCGTGTGGAAGACCCATAAACTGCTCATTCGCATGAAGTAGCTGGATCATGCTCTATTTCAACTCAAAGTGCCCAGTGATTCTGGGCTTCAGAATGGTGAAGATGATATTAGTAATGCTGGGCATCGCCACCTCCTGAACAACCATCTGTTGCTTCTCTGCCATGTTCACAGGAAATTGAACAAGTTCCTAAAGATTGTTCGTGTCCCTTGCTTCCCTCAACCTCCTATGAAATGTTCTCTCAGGTTCGGGGTCAAAGCCTTGAAGTCTGTCCTGGCTTCTGACCCTGCACATTCAATCAAAGCTCCTGAGATCAGAGCAACAATCAAATAACGTTAGACTTGATGAAATAAATAATGAAAGGAAAAACTATAAAGTAGTCAATATTCAAGTCCCCGGCAACGACGCCAAAAACTTGTTGCTCCCAAACGCACACGCAAGTATACATAATCCCACAAATAATAAAATAATAAATTGAGTATCGAACCCACAGAGACTTATATTAACTACCCACTAAATTCACCAAGATTGTTATTCAGTCGAGCCAATTTGAGTTAAAGAGTGTAAATATACTAAATAATAATTCTAAGTGGTAACTAACTATAAAGCAGTAAAATGGTTATTGTGTAAGACAAATATTTCAAGATTGTGATTGATTCACCAATCTTATTGTGTTCTAATTAATTTTTCCCTCTCATACAATTTACTCATGATCGCTAATTAATCGAACAATTGCTCACATAGCCTTCTACCGAAGTATTACTCGCNTCAATTCTTCTCTAATCTAAACATGGCTTTTCCAAGCATAGTATAGATAGTAAATAGAACCTAACTGCTAGTCAGACAATTAAGAAATTAATCACAGAATTGAAGAAACAATCATATATTGGTGAATTATAATCAAGGTTAAGTCAATATTTAATAACAATATTCATGAATAAATCACAACCCCAGAACTATGGGTTTTAGTCACTCATGGTAGTATCAAACAAATTTATAAGTGTTGGATAATTGAAAATACTAAGAAAAGATGAAAAAATCTGGAATATCCTTGCTCCCGAGTGTTTCCCGTGTGAAATTCCTCTTCAAAGTGGCGTCTCCCCTCTAAAAATAAGCTTAGTTTTGCTTTTATACGCGTTGGATAGGTTTAGGGACGAAATAACCTTGTCCCGGGCAAAGTTGGACAATTTTCTCGTCACCAGCATCCAGCCCAGTGTCCCACGCTGGCCCTGGCGCTGGTTTATTATGCATACTGTCTCTGGCGCCACAGGTGGCGTCGAGCGCTTCCTGTGGCGATGAGAATCCAAGTTTTCCGTTTTCCTCCGTTTTGGCTCTAAGCTCGCACCTTTCGTCTCCAATTGCTTCCGAATGATTCCTACACATAAAAACACCTCGAATTAATATAAATCAAAATATTTTATATCCAAAATCCACGAAACACGAGTAAAACATGAGGTGATATACATATAAATATATATACTTTACGCTAAATATCACCAATACATTTTTATGTTAGTATAGACATAGGCGAAGCTAGAATTTAAAATTAATGGTTCAAGGTTTTCGTCTTTTTAAGTTATTGGGTTCTAAATTAATAATTTATATATTTTTAATAAATTTCTTTAAACAAATACAAGGTGAGAACCGAAGTTACTGAGTTCGCCGAATCCACAACATGCACAGTAGTTGCGCCCTTGGGTATAGATTATTTATTCAATATTATATTATTCGAAATATATTAATTTTACTATCAGTTAAACTTTTGGAGTATTCATTAAACTTTTATCAATTTATAAATGAGGCAGGCCACTTTAGTATCATGATAGCCTTTATCAGCCACCACGTATTATCAGTAAGATTTTAACAAAGATTTGCCCTCGGTTGAAGTGGTCTTGAGGCGATGAATGGTGCAGTCGAAGAGTCAGCGGAAATCAAAGTCGTGAAGTTATCGTAGATCAAGGTTGAGATCGAGCAACTTACACAGAGTTATAATGACTAGTTTTAAGATAAGACAAAAAAAAAAGAATATTCTAGTGGATATTCTCTGCACCTGTACTATTAGGAGTTTTATAAATATATTACCTATAAATAGAAAGAGACACAATAATAGCGGACATGAGATGTTCAGTTGTAATAAAATACACTGACTTTATAGAGAAAATCTGGTCATATTGCAAGGAGACAAAAACAACCTTTTTATTAAGATTCTTATCTAATTTTTTCACTGGATCTAAGAACAACCTGAGTGTTCAAAGGCTCATCAATCATTGATCATTGTCGAAAAGAATATCCACATATCGCACCCATTTTAGGGTGACTCACGCGTTTTTATTTACTTAAATATCATTCAATGCTACTTGTTATTATTTAATATTATCTTCCACCTTTTTGGATCATTAAAAATTGTTATTATTGCTCACATTTATTGCCATTCGATCAAATATAATTCCTCCGGTCCAAAATAAGTGATTTTTTGGATGTTTTCACACAGATTAAGAAATCCACCTTTTAACATTAATTAGCAATAGAATTGACCATATTAACCTTTACTATCTCACATAAATATTCCTAACACATATTCCAACACTATTTACTCCAAAGCCAATATAGGAAAAAAATAATTAATTCATTCTTAAAATCTGGAAAAATCACTTATTTTGGACCACAAGAAAAAAGCCAAAAAATCACTTATTTTGGACCGGAGGGAGTATATATTATCTGTCTTGAAATCGATAACCTTATCTTCTAGATATTAATATTAGTTAGGACTGACTCTATTTTATTTAAATATAATTGGTTGAACCCATCTCTAAATTTTTGGGTCAAACAGTCTCAACTTTTCATTGTAATTTAAAACTACTCTCAGATTTTGACTTTGTTATGGATCAACGGCAAATATAAATTTTTTTCCTAATGTCGAGAGAGAGCAAAAATTTAATGAGAGGTAAAATTGCTCTATTTGGATAATGCATGTTTAAATTTTTACCATTTTCCTATTATTCTATTTCGAACGATTGCAAGTTGTGACCTTTATAAAACCTAGTTAGGAAGCTACACACGACTTGATATTACCTTTTATTGTCAAGACCCCAAATTCTTCCTCCCTGAACTATCGTGATGGTACCTAATTTCTACGACTAGGTAAGCCTAATATTGCGGAAATAAAATAAAAATACGAAGATAACGGCTAACAGATAATAAACATAAAAGATGTCGTTCGGCATATACAATAATCACTTTTTCAAAACCCGGAATATCGTAAGTCACAAGCTACTTAAGAGTCTTAACTGTTCTATACATCATTTCAACAGAAAGAAGGAAAAAATGAACACGGGGGATAGAGGGGGACTCTTAAGTCTGCGGACGCGAGCAGATGTACCTTGAAGTCTCCTGAAGCAGCAACCACGCAACTAGACTCAAGGCTGATAGCTAGTACCTGGATATTCACACGAAAACATGTGCAAGAAAGGGCATGAGTACACCACAACGGTACAAGTAAGTGCCAAGCCTAACCTCGATCGAGTAATGACAAGATTAGGTAGGGCCTTACTGAAAAATATATAACAAAATAAGGCAGAAATGAAATATCATTGTAAAATAAAGACTAAAATTAAACATGAATGAAACCGTAGAAGTCAAAAGCTCGGTACCCAGAAAATAACAACAGGGAATTTTCCAAGATATCGTCCCGTAGTCCCAAAAGTAAATGCAGTATAGGGGGATCTCCCGAATACCGCTCCGTAGTCCCAAAGTAAATATGCGGTGCAGAGGATTTCTCGGAATACAGTTTCGTAGTCCCAAAGTAAATATGCAGTACAAGGGAATCTCCCGGAATACCGTTCCGTAATCCCAAAGTAAATATGCAATACAAGGGGATCTTCCGGAATACCGTTCCATAGTCCCAAAGTAAATATGCAGCTCAAACAATAGAAATACAACTACAGCATGAAACCCCTACAATTTAGACTAAGTACAAGTCGAGGAAGAAGCAGAAAATTCACTAAGCATGCTTCACAAAGATCAGACAAACAATTAAAACACATAGACATGTTGTTCTAAACTAAACATAATAATTAGATATGTTAGTGTAGCTCAGTTAAAGGAAAACAAACATTTTATTTAATGAAAACAGAGTTTTTCCAACAAATAGCTCGTGTACGCACTTGTCACCTCACGTACACGGCGCTCATATATCAAACAGTACCAAATCTTAAGGGAAGTTCCCTACACAAGGTTAGGCAAGCCACTTACCTCAAACCAAGCTCAATCAATCAGTCATAGTGCCTTTCCCACGAATATCCTGCTCCGAGTGGCCCAAATCTAGCCAAAACAATTACACAACGTAAATATAGCTACCAGACTCTAATATAGCTAATGAAATCAAAGCTAAAGCAAGAAATTAGAAAAATGACCAATAAGCCTCCCCGGGCCCACGTCTCGAAATCGGGTAAAAGTCACAAAATATGAATACCTATTTACTCACGAGTCCAACCATACCAAAATTAGCCAATTCCGATCACAACTCGACCTTCAAATCCTCAATTTGTGGTTTATGAAGTTTCTACAACTTTTTTCCAAATTTCCATCTCAAAGTACTAATTAAATGACGAAATCAATCATATATTCATGTATATTAACCGAATCCGAATTAGAATTACTTAGGCCGATGAATTTCTTGAAAACCCATGAAAAAAACATCTCAAACCGAGCTCACAAGGTCCAAAAATGAAATAATAACCTAAGCCTCGGTTATATAGTACATTCTCTGAACTTACCATGTGTGGTCCGCACAATTCCAAGTGCGGCCGCACTCTCTTGGTGATTGCACTATCTGGCTTTAGTATTTTGGCCATAACTTTCTCTACAGATGTTCAAATTATGATTTCTTTACCTTTCTGAAAACTAGACACGAAGGCTACACTTTTCCTTTTGGAATCATTTCAATATACCTTGTAGATAAAATGATATAAGCTTCCGAAGTCGCACTAGCGAATCTGAGAGTTCCTGGGTGTGGCCGCACACAAAACTGAACGGCCCGCACACTCCTCTGCGGCCTGAAGTGCGGCCGCACACAAAATTGTGTAGTCCGTAATTCTGAATCCTGAACCAAAAATTCTGAGTTCTTATCCCCAACAGAGTCGCCAGAGCTGTCACACCTCCTTTTTCCCGAAGGGATAGGGAATTTTTCCAATTTAAGTGACATTATTCGAAATGAGAGTATTCTTTATTTCAGAGTCACGCTTGGAATAATTATATGGTGTCCCAAGTCATCGGTTTATTTTAAATTCCAAATCGAGGAAATTTGACTCTGTTTAAAAAGTTCGCGAACACAGAAAACCGGGTAAGGAATTCTGTTAACCCGAGAGAAGGTATTAGGCATTCCCGAGTTCCGTGATTCCAGCACGGTCGCTCAACTATTAATAATTGGCCTAATTATCGAATTTATTACGTGTTTTAAACCTATTGTGCATTGTTAACTTTATAACCAGTTTAATATATTTATTGAGTTATTTCTAGAACAAGTCACGATTGTCACACATTAGTTGTTTTGATACACATTGCAAACCGCATCACATGAAATGCACCCGCGATTTACAACATATTTATTTTTGTTATTGTTCGAAGTTATGGTCGGGTCACATGAAATGCACACCCGAATTGGGATTTACGTATCGTAACCATGCCACAGGAACCGTACTCATAGCCACGATGATTTATTATTAAACGCACCTAAAGCGAACTACGATGTTCATAATTATTTATTTCCTAAGTTTGGGATTGTTGTGATGGGCTCAAGAATTATGAAAATTATTTGGGAAAAAGAAAAGCAATGGGTGTTTGTAAATTGTCAAACACCTTGCGGACATCGTTATTCTAGAAATTGTAACACATTAAACAGCTCAAGTTCTAGTCAAATTGATCGATGTAATCAAAATGGAATACATGAATAGATGAACACATTCAAATGGATGAATCCGGACCATTATGTGAACATTAGGAGATATAATTATTGCAAATTTTATCATTGACTCACAAAACAAAACATGAAATCAGAACTTTTACAACCACACCACCCAACCACTGGTACATGATCAAATCTAGAATTACACACAAATTGATTACTGAAGCTCTAAAAAATCTAAATTAATATGAAGATTTTATCACATGCCATCCCACATGATGAGTTTCAACGAAGTTTTGACTAGCTCATGGTCCAAACAGATTGAACACTAAAAATAACAACTTCAGAAAAGCATAGAGGCAAGGCACCCAAATTTAACAGAATTTATTCAGTCATGTTCAGTTAATATCAGAGAAACAGTCACGTGGATCAAGACAGGAGTGTAAGGATTCTGTATGTACCTCAAATGCAGAAAAATAGAGTGACAAAGCCAAACAAAGGCACAGAGAAGAAGCAGGAACAACAACAATCAGCAACTTCTTATGCCCACACAGCTCGATAACCCCAGAACATACGCAGCAACTAAACAAAAATCGGAAACAACTTTCAATTTCCTTCTCTCTTTTTCTTTTTTTGTTTTTTGCTTTGATTTCCGGAGCATCTGTTTTCCGATCTGAAAATTTATTTGTTTTTTTTTTAATTCGTAGCTCTGATTTGTTCTTCTACTGTGTGTGAGTGAGATGAAATGGGCATTTGGGAGAAGGTCTTCAGGCGTTCTCCTTGAAGATCAGAGATAGCGTCGTTTTTGGTTTATCTCTGGGGGAGAGGGATCTTCTGATTTAGGTGTCTAATGTGTCTATATATTAGAGTGTAGGAGGTTGGATTTTAATAAAGGGGAATGGGTATTTGGGTAGTGGGCTGGGATGATATGGGCTTAGATAATGGAATTTTTACATTACTATGTCATATAAAATCTATATTACACTCAATGTTTAAGGTTTGATATAATTACATTTAGTATACCTAATTATCAATTATATACCATAAGGTTTTTTAACTGTANCCCCACGTTTCTCTCTCCCAACCCCACACCCTCACCCACATATCACCACACACCCAGAAACCTCTGCTAAATCCAGAAAAACAATTGAAATTTTCTACCATTAATGTCCAAAATCAAGGTTTTTTCTTCTACAACCAGTCAAAAATGAAGTCAAATCTTCAAAGTTTCATACACAGCAACAACTTTTGATGGTTATGATTTCGGGTTCCTTCAGTAATATAAGAGGAAAGGAAAAGAGAGCAGCAATTACACCATTGACAGCCATTAAAAGGCTTTGAAGCTTTCAATTCAAATTTGGGTTTTCAAAAATCATTATTTGTTTGGATTAGGTGTTGTTGTAAATCATTGGGAATATGGTTTAGAGTTTATATCTCAATTTTGAGGGGTTTTGATGAAGATTAGACTTGGTTTTGGCTGAATTTCAGATTGAAATTCGAAGAAGAAGAAGACGTATATTGCGGAAATTATAGAAAAATTGTAGATAAATTGAAGAAAAATTGTAGGCTGTTGTTTATTTATTTTTTTGAAGAAAAATTGTAGAAATATTTTTTTGGATTCCATATTTAGCATAGCAGTTTCGTAAGGAGTAACAAGAGCATATAGGAGAATCACAAAATTGTAGCATAATCGGGATTTTCGACATAATTGTGTTTTTTGCAGAAAATTTGTAGAAGTTTTAGTCGTTTTTGATTTATGAAAATAGAAAACAAAGCATCTACAATCAGAAGACAAATAATCTACAATTTATCGATAAAATATCTACAAACTGGTTACATTGAATTTTAATATCCCAATTCTCATTCAATTGTAACATAATTGGGATTTTCGACATAATTGCATTTTTTGCAGAAGATTTGTAGAAGTTTTAGTCGTTTTTGATTTGTGAAAACAGAAAACAAAGCATCTACAATACAAATAATCTACAATTTATCTATAAAATATCTACAAACTGGGTACATTAAATTTTAATATCCCAATTCTCATTCAATTGTAGCATAATTGGGAATTTTGACATAATTGCGTTTTTTCAGAAGATTTGTAGAAGTTTTAGTCATTTTTTTATTTGTGAAAACAGAAAATAAAGCATCTACAATCAGAATACAAATAATCTACAAAATATCTACAAACTGGGTACATATTTGGACTCGATATGATTCTCCTAAAATGTATGTTTCACATTTTTTATATATATTTTTGTCCAAAATAGTACTAAATCATTCACTTAAATACAATTTTTATACAATGTTGTTCAACTTTCATACAATAGGTAAATGAATAAAAGAAAAATAAATAAATAAATAACAGTCTACAATTTTTCTTCAATTTATCTATAATTTTTCTACAATTTCTGCAATATATGTCTTCTTCTTCTTCTTCTTCTTCTTCGAGTTTCAATCTGAAATTCAGTCAAAACCAAGTCTAATATTCACCAAAACTCCTCAAAATTGAGATATAAACTCCAAACCATATTCCCAATTATTTTCAACAATACTCAATCCAAACAAATAATAATTTTTGATAACCCAAATTTGAATTCAAAGCTTTCAAGCTTTTTAATGGTTGTCAATTGTGGAATTGCTGCTCTCTTTTCCTTTGTTTTGTATTACTGAAATTTGTACATAATTGCGTTTGATGTAGAAGAATTGTAGAAGATTTAGTTGTTTTTGATTTGTGAATTGTAGAAGAATAATTAATTCGTTTTTTAATTGTAGAAGAATAATCAATTCGTTTTTGAATTGTAGAAGAATAATTGCGTTTGATGTAGAGACGCTAAATTTGAAACGAAACTGACGAAGAAGATTAATGTGCGTGATTTGCATTTTGGAAGATGTAGAAGAATATTTAATCCCCCAATTTTAGCGCGCCTAAATAAGGAAGCCTACAGCTACAATGATTCCTTATTTAATGCATGGTCTATATTTTATAGAAAAACTATTAGCATGAAGGGTAATATGCAAACTATGAAGATATATAGTAATATAGTTTCCTATATGGTATAGGAATGAAAATTTCCCTTAGATAATTTGGGATTTTTGGGCTTCAAATTAAGCTGGCCCAGATGAAATTGACAGACCAAATCTACTTCTTTTTCTTTGTTTTTCTTTTACTTTTAAGTTCTAACAAATTAAATCCTAAATTAAAACCTAACTTAAATCTAATTTAGTAGAAATAATTCTATTTATCTACTAACAAATGCATGTAAAATCTAAAAAAAATATTTTGTTTGATTTTTATGCATTAATTCTAACTATTAAAGAGTAGTTAATTCCTAAAAATATAAATTAGACCTACGATGGTATGAAACGAAAAATGTGACAATTTTTTATGATTTTTCTTATGATTTTAAAATATTAAACATGCATGAAATGCAACTAAATAAAGAAAAACTCTTAAAATCCATTAAATTACTTTTGGTCTATTTTTAGGAGTAATTTCCATGTGGGGGCAAAAAGTAGGAGCTCACAGTTGCCCATCTTTGCTTGTAAACATGAAGAGTTTCGGGCAAAGATAAAGTGAGCAAATACGAGCAAATTTTGCCCGTTTGAAACTCCATGGGAAGTATTTTTAAAAAGTCTGACCGAATCTTGCTTTGGAGGTTGTCTACATATCCTTGGCTATAAAGGAGTCAGGTCAGTGTAGTTCTGGAAATTTTGGTAGCTGGGACTACCGAATAGCTGTGATTTCACTGCTATTGCTGTTGTTTCTGTTTGCTGAGCTCCTTATTACACCAAAATCAAAATGAAAAACTAAACCAACTAAGCCTATCAGCTACGAGTTAAAAGATTCCTATCTATGAGTCTTCTGGAGCTTGATCTTGAGTCTTGGCTGGTTCTTCACGCAGACTCTGATTTGAATCTTGATGCTTGTTAGCTGCAAGTACTAGTTCGTTCTTTTTCAGCATTTCGGATCAAGGCGGGACATACAAAGCATGTGACTTCAATCATGTCTTGAGCAGTCCACATCTTTTCTTCACTTCTGCATTTTGAGTTCACTATTTTTTCTTTTATTCTGGATTGAGACTTCTTCTTTTGGTCGTCTCGAACCCTGTGTCTCGAGGTATAACCTGCTCATACACCAAAACAAACAAAAATTTTCTGCCCCAGTTTTCACTAGAAAAATTTCGTGCGTTATTTGTAACAAAATTCTAAACTACTTCTTTATTGAAAGCAATAAAAGGTCAGGAATGGTGTACCCTGAAAAGATCATTATGATTTTTTTTTTTGTTTTTTTTTTCTTCAAAAAGATGTCTCAACTAAGGATTGGTTTACATTATGTTGGAAAACATAGCTAGGGATTGGTGTACCCTATACTAGTAATGAGATCAGGGAGTAGTGTACTCTGCATTTAAGATCAAATCAACTAGGGAGTTGATACCCTATGTTGGAAAGGAGACTAGGGAATTGCGTACCCTATGCTAAAACGAACCAAGAAGGAATTTTTTTTCTTTTTTTTTGGGAGAAAATCAATTTCATATTTTTTTGAGAAAATCATTCTTTTAAACAAATTGCCCCGAGCGCATTTTTTTCAAAGGCAAGAACAAATGACTTTTTTTTAATCGAGACATCCTCTTTTCTTTCTTTGTTTTTTTAATTTCCTAGGAGAAAATTCATTAGACTAGGTTTTTATATCTTAGGAGATTCATCAAACTAAGTCATTTATCCTAGGAGAAAGTTAATCAGACTAGGTTTTCTAATTTATTATCTAAGGAGAAAGATTCATCAGACTATGATTTTGATTTTAAGAGAAAAGTTATCAGACTAGGTCTCTTTTTTCGGTATCTTAGGAGAAAGATTCAACAGATTAAGATTTCTATTCTAGGAGAAAATTCGTCAGACTAGGTTTTCTATCTTAGGAGAAAGATTCATCAGACTAAGATTTCTATCCTAGGAGAAATACTCATCAGACTAGGTTTTCTCATCTTAGGAGAAAAATTCATCAGACTAAGACTTCGATCCTAAGAGAAAGTTCATCAGACTAGGTCTCTTTTTTTGGATATCTTAGGAGAAAGATTCATCAGACTAAGATGTTTATCCTAGGAGAAAGATTCATCAGACTAGGTTTTCTTATCTTAGGAGAAAGATTCATCGGACTAAGATTTCTATCCTAGGAGAAAATTCATCAGACTAGGTATTTTTTTAATCTTAGGAGAAAGATTCATCAGACTTAGATTTTGATCCTAGGAGAAAGTTCATCAGACTAGGTCTCTTTTATTTTTTCTTTTGTTTTTGTATCTTAGGAGAAAGATTCATCAGACTAAGATTTCTATCCTAGGAGAAAGTTTATCAGACTAGGTCTTCTATCTTAGGAGAAAGATTCATCAGACTAAGATTTTGATTCTATGAGAAAATTTATCAGACTAGGTTTTTTTTTCTTATCTTAGGAGAAAGATTCATCAGACTAAGACGTTTATCCTATGAGGAAACAAAAAAAGTGAAGAACAATGGTAAAATTTTATGCACACTAACAAGACAAATAAAGACAAAGATTTGAGAACTTCTATTTGTCGGCTCTTCTCTTCTCTTCTCTTCCTTTTCACTTTTTTTTTCTTCTTCTTTTTTTTCTTCTTCTTTTTTTTTTCCTATTTTTTCTTTCTTTTTCTCTTTCCTTTTCCCTTCTTTCTTTTTTTTTTGTTTTTTTTTCTTTTTCCCTTTTTTTAACCATTCGATCGAACCTGATGTGGGTTGCCTACGTATCATGATGCCGCATGAATCAGATCTTTGTGTAGTTCGGGAAGATTAGGAATAAAATAAACTAAATCTTTTTTTTTCTTTTTTTGGATTTTGAATTTTCTTTTTT